GTTATTTTCATAAATCAATAGAATAAAATGTTTTATTTTATCCCCACCCATTTTCCCGGAAAATTATATTTATAAATTGGAGTCAATACGATAATTATATAAGGTTGACCAATTTGATGCCGCACATGTCACTCTTTTTACAAAGTACAAACGCTAGTCGTCGAAAGAGTAAGTGGATATTTGAAAGAAAATAAATGAAATAAACATCAAACATCTCAAGTATGATATGAAAATATATTTCGTAATTATCTTCTTGTTATTTCTTGGATTCAACATTTTTTTTCTTGTCAAAGATGGATTCAACATTTTCATAATTAAGAAACTAAAGTTTCTAAAATAAGAATATCCATAATATAATAATAGTCGAATGGTTCTATATATTCCCACATGGTAAAATACAGTTCTTTCTCTTTTACTTCATCTTCTTGTCAACATTTCATATTTTCTTCTTCAATGATTTGTTACCGTTCACATTCTTTTTTTTTTGAAGAAATATAAAATATATTCGGAAAAAAACGTTTTTACATCAAATACAACATATGTTTAAACGATTTTGATATACATTCGTTGAAAGAAGATTTTGTTTTCCATAAAGTTTGGTGGTTATAATGATGTGAATCAAGTCACCATACAACATTCATATTTGCCATCGATCCTCTTGCTCTCGAGTCGAAGAAATTCTATTCCGAACTTACTTATCTAGTCGTTTGACTAGTTGGCACGCTGGAATTGGATTTTCACCATGGCTTCTATTGTTTCTTTTCACCTAAAGTATGTTACAGTTCAAATTCAAATTGTTGAATCCATTTCGTTGGTAAAGTATATGTATATATGCACATTGTGACATATGTGGAAGCCAAAGACAGCATGAGTGTTAAAACGAATTTTGGGTTTGCTATTTTTGGCGAAATTCCAAAGCCCAAAAAGACAACTAAATAGTTGCTTAATGACTATATGTTTGATAGATACTTAATGTTGTTTTTTTTTATCAAATTAATTTTTTTTTTTGACGTCAAGCTTATCAATTAGTTACATTTATCATTTCATTCTATTTTTATTTTTGTTCTCTTTGGGTGACAGTCTTTCTTTTGTCTCTTCACTTGGATGGTAGTCTACGGCTATTGTTCGTTGAAAATGATACAAATTTATGCTTTTTTTGTGTATATCCTTATTTTCTATGAGAGAAAGTATGGCAAACTCATCAATAAATTTTAGAAAATTATGGAAATACATATTTTGGACAGAAAGAGTTTGGTTACTGCATAATGGGTAATAACGAATCCAACCAAAAGTTCAAACTAATAGGAAAACATTTGGAGTGATATACATGTTTCCAGAAATAAAACTACGGATCAGAAATGGTAATCCATATAACTATAAATTTAAATTAACTTTAAAGTGGAAGCCATGAATATGGTCAACCGCACCTTTACATAGACTCACAACATTACAAAAAACTGTTTTTTTAAGAAAAATTGTGGTTAGACTAGAGCAAAATAGAAAATATGTGAATGGTGATCAATATGTCCATGCAGTATCTTTGTTGTTCCAATACCATTATCCGATGATTACCATTTATATCCTTCAATTTTCGTTAATTAGTCTTTTGGTTACAGTCTCCTCACATTTAATGTAATGATTTATATATATATATATATATATATATAGATATATTAAAACATTTTTTTGTCGTCTATATATATAACATTTAATGAAATATTAATGAATATTTACAGGGTTTTTTTTTTCCCTTCTTTCTCATATTCTTTTTATTTATTAATATATCATTTATATGTTCTAGTGTCAAGGAAGGAACAAGACTTTCAAAATAATCGTCATGGAGTTACATGCTTTCTTAGGATTGGTCGAAATCTTCGGATGAGTAATAGATAAACATGCATCACGAAAAATATAATCAAATTACTGAGGATACTTAGTAATATCAAAAGACCTTTTTGAATATATAAAGTTGTTTTTTTCTTTTTATAAAGTATATAAAGTCTTGTTACGTCATGAAATTTATATATGGATTCTTATATCTACGTGGAAACAAGCATGAGTATACCCTATAGATAATTTCACAACGGCCCTGAAACAAGAAAGACTGAGAATGTGAAGAAGACATATGGAAAAACTCAAAACAAAAAAAAAAAAAAAAAAAAAACTCAAAAAAAAAGGTAAATACAAAAAACAACAAGAAGAACGAACAACAATGTCTCTTTTACATCGATAATATAAACTGTAATAAATATATACACCAAGACACGATATATATATATATATTGATAAAGACAAGCATATGTTTTTTTTAAGTGCTTCGAAATCAATATTTATCATCTTAAAGAAAAAGAGGAACAAAAGGGACAAGAAATTGTAGTGTCTTGGTTTATATACAATTTTTCGATTTTCTTTTGTGCAACATAATTTTTAGATATATAGCTATAAAATGGGAGAGAGAGAAAAAAAAAAACGAAATTGGAAGAGCATCGGATTTGCAGTTCTCTCTCTGCTGGATTCTTTCCCTTGGACCCTTCCTCACTTCACCTCGATTCCCATTCACAAGTCACACAACTCTTCTCTCTGTCTATAGGCTATAGATATAGATGTTCACATGCATATTTTATATCTATATTTTTATCTACAAATATATCCGTTAATTATACTCCCAATAAATTTATTAAAAAATTTGAAGCTAGCTAGTGTAAAATGGTGTCAAGGCTTTGCTGGATATACACATTTTTGTAACCTATAATATCGAAAAAGACTAAAACCATGTTTTGATGTTGTTAGCTAGACATTATTGTTATACGTTGTAAAATATTAACTTGAGAGTGATCACGAAGTTGAATGCATTATTCATGTAAAATAACAACAATAACTTTATGAATACGTTTTGGGAAAAAGTCCAAACAAGACTTTCGATTGAATGGCAATGGTTTTTTTTCTTCTTGTAATAATGTTTTAGTTTTTGGGTTTTAGTTTTTGGTTTTTAGTTTTCATTATTTTATTTTTCTGTAGATTTAATATGTTAAAATATATATATTTTTAGTTTTAAGGAATGCTAATTTTTTAGTGTTAGTTTTTAGTTAAAATTTTAACTTAACTTAACTTATAAGATAAAATTTTGATTATTTTAATCAAAAATAATATTAGATATTTTGAATCGATCAATCACAGCGCGACGCTTGTACTTCGAAGTAGGGTAAAAGCTTCCATAAGAGAATAATTTTCATTAGCAAAAGTAAAGATTTGCCGCAAGTAAAATATACAAAACGCTTACCGTACATAATTAAATATGTGATAGTATTATCATCATGAGCATTTTATGCACTTATACGAAGTATGTAAGTTTAACATTTCGTCGAACCCAATCTACACACATCTCGTTATAACAAGTATTGGATTAACCTAGTGCGGTTGATGGGTCAAATGATCTAATCTCACTGATCGAAATTTACCTAAATGAGATCTAGTCTAGGATCTAATGAATCGGTATCTAGATCTTATACATAATGTTCTCCGATCACAATGAGAATTGTTTGAACTTAAAACGAATAGACATTGGGTTTAAGGAAATGATTTTCTCGAATGTTTGAAGCGTAGACCAAGGAACCGTCTCTCTTCAATATGTAGTGAGAAAAGATCCACAATCATTTTTTTATTCATTTCTTTTGTTGTGCTTCTCTTCAAAAAAAGTTCTTTTATTTTGATTTAGTTATCGCTCAATGTTCTTGTAAACAACTTATAAATGAGGTTAATTAGTCTTAAGATTATTGAAATTTAGGTTTTGATACGACTCCATAAATTTTAAGATTGTATCTTAAACTTGTGGTAACGATCTTACATTGTCTACGAACTATTCATTAACAATTTTAAACTCCATCAACAAGTTACAACAAGATATCAAATCTTTCAATTGGAAGATATATTTTTCACTCTAAAACGGGTTTATTTTTAAAGGTTGTGTGATGTGAATAATACAATTTTATTGTATCACCTTGTATAGGTTAACTCCTCTATACTGTGTTAATTATATATGAATATGGACTGACAACAAAAAAAAAAGCAGTAGAAAAACAAACAATAACAAAAAAAGTCAACGAGAGAGGTTTGACTCACACTACCGTTCAGAAAGCAAAGCGTGGAGGAAACAAAGAAAATACTAGTCGTTCCAAATTCCTTTTAACTTTTTACGTTACCCAATCAGTATCCACTAATACCTATAGAATCACAAGTAGGTTTCATTTACGTACGTATTCACATTTAGAAATATGACACTCATAATATTATAGTTAAATTTACATAGTATACCACAAGATTAATTACAAATTTATCTTGATTAGGTTTGAAGTTTCAGGTCTCCCTCTTGCTCACTTTCAAAAGACAATACACTGATCACTAATATATTCTTCAGTTTTTATAATAGAGTTGCTATTTAAAAAAAAAAAAAAAAAGAACAAAAAAAAATCTTATTTTGGAAATGGTAAATAAACGGAAGCATTTTGTTTTTGTGGAATTGCAAAATAGCATGTTAAACTATTTCTTCGAAGGTATCAATCCGATTCATGTAGATTACTATTAGTATCCAATTCCTTTTCAATCAATAATTGGATATAAATAGTTTTGTACCCGTACGTTAGGTAATTCCATTGGTCATACTAGGATAAAAATAAGATATGTAAGATTAGTGAAGCAACGAAACAAATAGTTATATGTTCTACCAATAGCTTTTAAAACAAAAGACAACAAGTAATGATATTATATATACTAAGGTTTTAAAAAGAAACAAGAACCACCCAACCAACATTAAATTTTTATTCTTTTATACAGAGTGAATATAAACATCACTCCTCTTTCTGCTTCTCACTTACACACAATATATACACATATAAATATATTTATATGTGCCCGTGTGATATCAACAGCTGTATCAATCTTCTCTCTTTGAAAACACACAAGTCTCTTTGCTCTCTCCTCTCTCTATTTTTCTTGTTTTACCATGTCGGAAAAAAGAATAAGCATGGTCGAGAAAAGTAACAACAAGAGACAAAGAGTGAACCAAGTTCCAAAGTTCAGTATCAACGACCACCACGACGTTCTTGTAGAAATCCTCCGGCGACTAGACGGTCCATCTCTTTGCTCAGCCGCATGTGTGTGCCGTCTTTGGTCGGCCGTGGCTCGTAATGACTCTATATGGGAAGAGCTCTGTTTCCGACAAGTTTCACCACGACCTTCTTTGTCTCTTCGTTCCGTTGTGTCGGCTCTTGGTGGCTACCGATGTCTCTACTTTCTCTGTATCCGTCCCGTCCTCGCACGACTTCCTAAGCTTCGTTGGACACGAGACCAGCTTCAGTTCTCTTTGTCACTTTACTGTGTTCATTACTACGAGCGCCTCTACGTCGGCGCGTGGCTTGGAGACGCGCCACCTTCGTCGCTTATGTTTCTTCGGAAGCCCGTTAACGTTGTCTGAACCGGAACCGGAACCGGAACGGCCCTTTTTTTGTTTCTCGACGATTAATAAATTATTAGTTCCCAAGATTTGTATTCTTTTATCAAATTATTTTTTTATTCCGACTTTTACGGTTTCGAAATTTCGATTTCTTCATTTCATTACAAGATTTTATTAATAAACGTGATCTTTTTTTTTCCACTCCTGTTTCTTTTTCTTCCCTAGTAGATACTGCCAACGCGTAGCTGTTTTGTCTCTTCTACTTTTTTTTTCTTTATATCTAATCTTGGCATTCATTAATTTCATTGATTATTTATGCCATATGAGTTTTTTTTTTTTCTTTTGGTTTAGTGTAAAAATATAACAAAGAGGAAAGTTTATCACTCTTTTTTTTTTGGGAGATGACACTTTTTAAAATGTAAAATAAAATGATGTTCTAATATGAAAAATTGATATATGAGTATATGACGGCTTTTTTTTTAATCCTCTAATAATGGCATTAGCCAAAGTGGATTTTATGGTGGAATTACATTATAGATTTTCCAAGATTCGTGAAAATCTAAAAATTATTGGCATTGTTACTAATTCGTAAATTTTCACCTAAAAACTATTTTCACGAATTAGCAACAATGAAAAGTGGATTTTATATATGGTGAAATGTAAATTTTCATTAACCAAACAAAAGTTACTATTACAAAAAAAAATGCAAGAAAACCGTAGTTAGCTTATGTCACCGTAGTGATTAAACAAAATTCTTGATTTTAAGGAAAATCAGTGTAGTTCTGATGGAACATAACCTACATAGCTTTACTGTGAGAAGACCAGAAAATCAAGTATTGTCCTTGCATGTATATTTCTGTACTAATTAACCAAACAAATTGTTGGGAAGAGTTTGTCTCGAAATGTTTCTGTACTGATTGCTAAAGACTCTTGAACCAAAGTTGAGTGATTGCGGGTGAACTAAAATACACTGGCCCAAAAATAATTTTGCTCGTATTTACTTATCTCCGTCTGATTTCGCAAATTGATTTTTCCTTAAAAAGCTTTGGAATTTTCAAAAAAAAAATCTTAAAGATTTAAGTGCAACGGAAATGAAATCCAAAAATTCATTACTAATACCGAAAGCTACTTACCATCGTATCTTATGAAACCGAAATCCGCTAAGTTCAAAAACATGTACAATGTACATGATCGTTTCAGGTGCACTACACCACCAAATACTAGCACTCAATTGCATCACAGAAAAAATATGAATAATACATTACCTGGTAAAGACGGTCATTCCCTCTCACATGCTAACCTAGCAACCATCAAATAATTAAGTCAATCAATAAAATCAAATCACCTAGTCCCATGCACAATAAGTTTTATATATACTCTAGGTCAAATTTACAATCAAACTCTACAACATACACACATTACTTAGCCAAAACATGTAACAATGATATTTATATATTCATATATTGATTTAGCTCATGATTGATAGCCCCGTTCCCGTAACATTTTTATATCATGATCTAGGATATTATGATAGTATGACCTTATAACAATCGTCTATTGTGATCCCATATGGACATACATTCTTCTATATACCCTGGATAGCCAAATTTTGTACAAACCTTCGTATTCGTCATCTCCTAACGAAATGACGACCACTTTTTCTATACCTCAATTTTTTTCTCTCATTTTCTTCTTAATCTCATTAATTCTAAGTTGCTTTCAATGATGATTTCTTGGAATGAGGTTATTAATTTTTATCATACTAGATATACTAATTTGGCCTTATATTTTAAAGATGTCATCTTGCAATGGTGAAATGTCGTATGCAAGATGAGTTATAACAGGTCATGTTCTATGTATTTTGATGAATACAATGACATCAAAGTCTACATTTGATATTGGTGTGTATGTCTTGAACAAAAATGTAGAATTTTTGTATTTTTCCAAGTATTTTTCCAAGACACATATAAACTTTTATTTGAACGTACTTGGATTTGCTAAAAACATATTAATTTATGAATGTTTAAAATTCATTTTACTAAAAAGAGTCCATTATAAATTGGGTTTACTCTGCTAATTAGTCTTGTTAAAATCAGGCCATACTAAAAATATGTTGGTCTTGCAAGGTTTGAATCTATCAGGTAGATCGGGTTTACTTAATTGACATGCCTACCACCAAACCATTGATTTTTAGTATGGCACCAAAAAAGAAACATATACTCTAGTGATTTGTGTTAGAATTATAGCAGTGCTACAACCCGAATTCAAACTTAATTATGTAATGTGCATAGAATGACAAAAATAGAAGGAAATAAGATGAGCTAGAGATAAATTTGATATCTTTGTACGTACCTTTGTTGTAGTATAGATTCGTTAAAAACGTTAAGTTAGGTGATGGACCACAAAAATGAACGTTTTGAAAAGGAGGTTGCCTTAGTTATACTCCAATCAATGGTAAAAGCCCATTCACAAATAACAGCCTGCCTTGATATTGACATTCCCACATCTATACTGGCCAAATATAATCATTTTTTCTTTGTTTCTCTCACTTTGCTTACTTACGCTTAATTGTGTACATATAAAATAGTAGAAAAATTTCAGATTTATGTTTATAGATGTAATTTGTATGTAAATGCAAGTATAACAAAAGAATTTTTGAAGTATCCCAGTACTTTATGAGAAATTTGTTTTTATTAATTTTCTCTTTTTTTTTGGAAAAACTTATAACTTCATTAAAATTAAGCTTCAAAATCTAAAAAAAAAAGGAAATTACACCCACAAAGAAAGGAAAATATAAGATAACAAACCAAATGAAAGATAAATAAGAATACATCTCAAAAAAAATCAAGAAAAATAAAAAAAGAACAATCACGAAAGTTTTTTTTGTGACCGCATCCAATACAAGCCAAAGAGATATAATTTCTGCAACAAGGATAGAGAAAACCAGCAACCGGGAAGAAGATCCTTTCCATACCGAAGACGCTTGATCATCTAACCACTCCAAAGAAGAGGAAATTTTTAGAAACGAAATTGGCAGTGGATGCCAAATTGAGAAGGTTTAGCCCTAAACACAGACGGCTGAATAATGTCATTTTTATTTAAAAAATAATATCATCTCTATTTTAAAAAGAAATCGTTTAGCTCAATCTTTAAAAAGCATATATATTTTTAATTGTATTGATTTCTACTAGCTACTCTTTCTCTTTGAAAGCAAAAAAAATAAAACAAATAAATGAAATGGATAGCGGATTGTGTGAATGAACTTGTTACTTTTGTCTTTTTCTTTTAGTTCCCATGTACGTTGGACTCCATAGAGAAGAATATGTCATATCCAATTTAAAATCTCGTGTAGCTTTCGTCTATATCATAATAGACTGAGAGAACCAATCATATATAGTCTTGAGAAGTTCTGACTTTTGATCCATCTCATATTGTTCCAATCAACCTCACCATCTCCTCTTCGAACATTAAAGTGTTTGCATGTATGTGTTTTCTTTTTAAATATAAATTGAATTTGAACAATAAAATTGGAGGATTGTAAATAGATTACAAAAAATGCTATGCAGCCTAAAACAATCTTAAAGCGTAAGGAAAATTAAATTGAATCTTTTAACTCCGAACATGCTAAATTAGCATTAGTTTAAATAAGTTATTTATAATTTTGCATGAAAGGAATATGTCTTGAATTAGACGGTCTACTATCATGAAAGCCGCGGTTGATGTTATCGCTACCTAAGTGTGAAATCTGGTATTTTGTTCATGTCATTGTGTACATAGTCGCATGTATCACAAATTTTGCAGGGTATGGCGACAGTAGAAAAACTTGTTGATACTCTCTTAGTGAAGGCCTCATGGGTTATAAAGACAAAAGATGAGACTTTGATATGTTGATAACTCTTGTTCACTTGTGACACAAACTTAAAAAAAAGATTCAACATCAAGGTATTGACCTAAAACACCGAAAGTATATACTAAAAGTGCACAATGATAACCACAGTAGAATAAATAGACCGAATCCTCAAGAAATATGTCACAGAAATACTCTCTGAGAGCTTACATTAGCGAAGACATAAATATTGTTTTGATTGATTTTTCTAAACTAAGAAAAAAAGTAAATCAAATAAAAATGAAAGAAAGCAAAACTAGCTATCAAACAATTAAGCAATAAGATTAAAATTATTAGGCATATATAAGAGAATCCACAGTGATTCAGGTATGCATAAGCAAATATATCATAAGAGAAAGCATTAAAAATTGTTCTTGAACTTAAACCGCAATGATCAAATTAACATTCTCTCGAAAAATCAATATCTATACAAGATATTATATAAAACGCTAAGTCGTTGGTTAAATTCAGGAGAACAGTCATGCATATAACTCAAGTTTGATATGTTCATAAAATATCTTACTATTAGTTTTTGTTGGCTATGGATGCTTTGAATTCAGGCCCGTCCCAACATAAACAGGGACCCTCAATTTTTTTTAAAAAGTTTTTCTGGCGTTTTAGGTATTTACTTTTAGCAAAATAAATAATTTTTTTCAAATTTTAAATTTTTTTACTTTAAAAACTAAAATTTCTATTTTAATCAAATTTTTGGATTTAATATTTTTCCTAAAAATTTGATCATTTTTATATGTTTTTAAAAAGTTATTTGGACCCTTTTGTATATATATTTTTAAAAAATCAGATGGATCTTTGGGCCATTGCCCTTCTGTCCACTCCCTTTGGGCTATTCTCCTTGTGTCCATCCTCTTTAAACCGGACCTGCTCGCAAATGGTTGCCAAGTAGCAAGTACATCCGAAAATGATCTAGTAGTCTAAAATAAAGAAAAATATGAGAACGTTCTATAAAAAACACAGATTTTAATAAAAAAATATTATCGACGATTTTATTTTACACTATTGATTAATAAAATCTTACTTTTACACATAAAAATAGTTAAAAAAACCTTTAAAACATTAATCCTCTTTACTTAATCGTGATGCCCTAAAATTTGAAGCAGTGGCGGACCCATGTGAGAACATCTGACACCTCTAAAATATAAAGGGAAAAATGTCGGAAAATGCGCGAACTTTCAAATTTGGGACAAAAAAAGCATGAACTTTCGAAATGTCATTTAAATCATAAAGTTTAGTTTGACTTTTGATTAAATGGTTAAGTTTTCGTTGACCTGGCCATTTCGGACATGTCGTTAAATTTCCGTTAACGAGACGATGACGGGGTTAACTTTCCGTTAGAAATCTCCGTTGAATCGAAACGACGGAAAGTGCGATTCTTCACAGACGCAGTTGATTCATTTTATTTTCCAGTGAAATGATGTCGTTTTGTTGTTTTGAAACCGACGTCGTTTCGATTCAACGGAGATTTCTAACGGAAAGTTAACCCCGTCAACGTCTCGTTAACGGAAATTTAACGACATGCCCGAAATGGCCAAGTCAACGAAAACTTAACCATTTTATAAAAAGTCAAACTAAACTTTATGATTTAAATGACATTTTGAAAGTTCATGATTTTTTTGTCCCAAATTTGAAAGTTCGCGCATTTTCCGACATTTTTCCCAAAATATAAATATGTCTTGGTGGTTCTTTTGGTCTTTGGTTAGTGTTTTAGTGTTTTGACACTCCTAACTCACGTTCAACTCCCACATTTGTCACTTTTTGTTTTATTTTTTAATTATTGGGTCATAGTCCATATTTCAACTGATACAATAAAACTCTTTTTTTTTTTTTGTCATCTGAATTTTATTAAGAACCAAAGTAGGATACATGTTGAAATTACATATGCCGGCGGACGACCAAGATGTCCGCAGAAACTTAGCCCAAAAGAGGGAAGCAAAGCCCCAACGTAACGGGGAAACTAATTTAGACTAGCCTTAAAATACAAGAAGAGACAAATGTCTAAAAAGGATCAACCGCATAGGAAGAATTGAAACCTAAGCTCTATAATTGAACAAAGGAACGAGAGACTCTCACCAAGCTTCCCCATAGAAACTGTGAACGTCGGAAGCACCAATAAGACCGGATAGACCTCACACCGAAGTCAAACCAATTGCATAACCGACAGGGAGGAAAGCAAAAAACCATCGATACCAGAGACACAAATACAACCACTATCACACCTCAACAGCCATACGGAGAGAGCAAACACCACTAGGGACAAGGCAAAACCCTTGAAAATCAACCGGAGATAAGCCAAATAAGAACAACAGCTCTTACACGCGGACACTCGTCGAAACAGCTTCAGCCACCTACAGACATAAAACTGACGACGTCCTCGCAAGAGAAGAGCTAGAGAACGATTCCACTGCATCGCCTAGAACCTATCTCCAAAGAAGAGAGGCTAGTAGGTGGCTCAGCAACGAAATACCATCAGAATGGCCAACACCAAAAACGAACCCAGCCAGATCGCAACTACGAACAAGCAAGAGGACACCTCAATTTTAAAACCCACAAACAGAGCCACCTCCTTCGAAACAAGCCTCACAACCAACACATAAACCTAAAGGAAGGAAACTAAATCGAATCCATCTAACACACGAAACGAGGAGAAGAAACCAGACCCAAAGATCTGCTTACCGGACTGAAACACAAGTGATACCACGGCCTAGATCTGCGAGCAACCAAACTCAAAAACCCCAGAGAGTCATGAGCCATCGCCAGATCTGTACAGAGCAGAGAATCTGAAACCGTTACCTAAAACGGAGACCCACGAACAACTCTCACCGGAGAAGCAGGCCGTCGAGCACGCCAAGAAGTCACGTCGAAAGGTTTCACCATCTCAGCCAAGAAAAATCCTTCACCTCAGAAACATGGAACTAGACAGATCGAGAACAAAAGCAAGTAAAACAGAAAAAGGAAGGCAATTGCGCCCTCTCACAGCAGCGGCGAGGAGCGCCGACCACCGGAGAGGGCAAAACGAGAAACTGAACTTTGGCGGCTGCTAGGGTTTTGAGAGAAAAAGTCGAGAGAAAAAAGTTTTTTTTGTTTGGGTAAGAAATCTGAGACAATAAAACTCTTTTTTATGGTCTCTTTTTTTTTGGTCTCCTTTATTTTTCATTCAATTTGGTTTGTATATTTAATAAATATGTTTTAAAATCTAAAATATAATGATAAAAAAATATTTCAAAAGCAATTTTTTTTTTGACAGCATTTCAAAAGCAATTTAAAATCTTATAAAGAAAATTTTTGTTTAAAATATGTAGGTTATATAAATACAAGAATATTTATTTATTTATTTGGTAAGTCAAGGGGAGACTCCCACTTATTATTAAAAAGAAAAAAAACAATTACATACGAACATTCCGAAGGCATGAAGCCCCCTTGATATCCTCCAACATAATCGAAGAAACAAACTCCGGGCTATCATCTAACTGTGAAAATCTAACGATAAAGTAAACGTATAGTTCGCTAATTCATCCGCAAAGTGATTAGCTTCTTTATACACATGAGAAATTCAAACTATCCAGTTATTTGATAAGAAGGCATAGCATAAACATACTAGAAAAATCAACGGATATTTACAATATATTTATTAGTTGACTGCGGTCAAATAATTTTTGGGTCTGCCACTGATTTGAAGTATCATAACTACCCAAAGAAAAAACTGACTTGAATATTGATCTACAAAAAACATTACACTAATGTCTCAAGTAATCCTAGCCACCATATTTTTCAATTGTACATTTTTTTTGTTGTTTTTTTACTTTTCACCCTTGTTCAAAATATTACCAAACACTAGTCGAGCATTAAAAATAAATTTAGCGCCTAACAAAAAAAATTGGAGATTATACTGATTTTTAGAACAAAGTTCTTCACTGGTTACACTATCCTGAAATTTTTGGAGCAGTGAGATAAAAGATAAACGAAAATATTGTCCTAACTTACAAATGAAGTCAACACAACGCAGAGGTCACCTGTTACCGGCTGACTAGGTTGCCTTTACATATTTAAAACCGGCAGCTGTCTTTTAGGCTAAAACTACTTCGGTTCTGTCAAAACCCAAAATTCTTCGTTTTATTTCAGTCAACAATTCTTATCTTTTTCTTACAATAATAACAAAATATTATTATTCTTGTCCTCACATTTTGTCTTTTCTCACTCTCTCTCCCATTGTTCTTCCTCGGCTTCATCTCCCGACGTCTCTCTCGTTCCGGTGAGTCTTTCTCTTTGGTCTTTGCTCCGATCTATATTTCTACTCTCTCAGTTTCGTGTTTTCTTTTCTGAGGTAAAACAATGGATCTTTCATAATCAAGTTATTAAACTTCAACGCTAGTTTTAAATATCGATGCTAGAGAAATCAGTTTCACTTACGATTGTGTTTAATATATACAGCATCTACGCTTGATTAAGTTGATAACTATCTATCTTTTGCAATCAATTTTTAGATTCTTCGTTTTTTCCCAATTCTTGTTTGACTAATTTACTGGGATTTTGATAAATAATTAGGGTTTTTTTTTCTGGGTTAAAGTCAAATTCAGAGCTTGATACTACCTCTGTATTAGTATGTTTCTGGGTTTTTATGTGTTAAAGTCATATTCAAAGCTTGTATTCATATTTTGATGATATTATGATTTATGAGGTTTTTCTCTCAATACAGATTTTATCTGGTTGGGTTAAATATTGATGGGCACATCATCTGGTTCCAATCATCCTCACCAGATGTTACCACCACGTCAACAACAAGGAAGTGGAGGTCTCGAAACAGCGCTTTCACTCGTATCTTCGGATCAGGAGCCACGTCGTGAGTCTCCAGCCGAGAGTGCGAGTTCTCAAGAAACATGGCCACTTGGAGACTCTGTTGCAGGGAAGAAAACAGTGAGTCAAAAGACAGAGCCTGATTCTATGGAACAAAATGTGAATGTGATGCACCATGTGTCTAATGCGGATAAGGTATCGGTACGGGATATAGCTAGGGAGAGAGTTGAGTTGGTTGCGGAGAGAATGCATCGATTGCCAGATGAGTTTCTTGATGAGTTAAAGAACGGTCTTAAGTCTATTCTTGAGGGGAATGTAGCGCAGAGCGTGGATGAGTTTATGTTCTTGCAGAAGCTTGTTCAGAGTAGATCTGATTTGAGCTCTACAACACTTGTTAGAGCTCATCGGGTGCAGCTTGAGATACTTGTAGCGATAAATACCGGGATTCAGGCGTTTTTGCACCCGAACATCAGTCTGTCTCAGCCGTCTCTAATTGAGATTTTTGTATACAAGAGATGCAGAAACATAGCCTGCCAAAACCAACTGCCGGCTGATGATTGCTACTGCGAAATATGCACTAACAGGAAAGGATTTTGCAACCTTTGTATGTGTACGATCTGTAACAAGTTTGATTTTTCTGTCAATACTTGCCGCTGGATCGGATGCGACTTGTGTTCCCACTGGACTCATACAGATTGTGCTATTCGGGATGGACAGATCACCACGGGATCCTCTGCTAAGAATACATCAGGTCCAGGAGAAATAGTGTTCAAGTGCCGGGCTTGTAATCGCACGTCTGAGCTGCTGGGATGGGTTAAAGATGTGTTTCAGCACTGTGCACCAAACTGGGATCGGGAATCTTTGATGAAGGAACTCGACTTTGTTAGTAGGATTTTCCGCGGAAGCGAAGATCAACGAGGTAGGAAACTGTTTTGGAAGTGTGAGGAGCTTATCGACAAGATTAAAGGAGGTTTGGCTGAAGCAACTGCTGCCAAATTGATATTAATGTTTTTCCAAGGTAACCTGCTAATTACTGATTTATATCTTATGAATCAATATTACTCTTTGTCTGCGGAGTCTAACCCTATTTTTGTTACTGTGTTACCGAAGAGATCGAATTAGACTCCGTGAAGAGCTTTGAAAATGGAGAAGGCGGACGTTTGATGGCACCTCAGGATGCATGCAACCGAATTGCCGAAGTTGTACACGAGACTCTAAGGAAAATGGAAATAGTGGCTGAGGAGAAGACGAGGATGTTCAAGAAGGCACGCATGGCTCTCGAGACTTGCGATAGAGAGCTCGAAGACAAAGCCAAGGAAGTTTCAGAACTGAAAGCGGAGAGGCAGAAGAAGAAACTTCAGATAGACGAGTTAGAGAGAATCGTGAGGCTGAAGCAAGCAGAGGCAGATATGTTCCAGCTTAAAGCAAACGAAGCAAAGCGGGAGGCTGATAGATTGCAAAGGATTGTACTAGCGAAAATGGATAAGTCTGAGGAGGAATACGCAAGTAACTATCTGAAACAGAGGCTGAGCGAGGCCGAGGCAGAGAAGCAGTATCTGTTTGAAAAGATTAAGCTGCAGGAAAATTCGAGGGTTGCATCACAGAGCAGTGGCGGTGGAGGTGACCCGTCACAGGTGATGATGTACTCAAAGATCCGCGATCTGCTTCAAGGATACAATCTCTCTCCCAAGGTAGATCCTCAATCAAACGAGCGTAATCCTTTCAGATCCAATCCTTGATGCTCGTTCCTCCCTTATAAATATGTAGTTTTCATATCCTAAAACTCATCACTTTGTTTTGTAAAACAAGTGTTTGTAGCCGTGTAGGATCTATCTATAACTGATGTTTCCTAATTTGTGTGTTCTCACTTTGTTGATATGTAGTTGTTTATCTATGATGTGGTTTCTTTGTTGATTGATTAGGTGATATAGGAAACGCAGAGAGAGAGAGAGAGAGTTGATTGTGCAAACAACTGTCCTAATTAGTCTTTGTCATCATACTTGTGTCTTTCCTTTTTCGTCGTTTCAACAACTCGTACATGGCTTTAAGCTATCTAACACTTATTGGAGGATTCTCTGATATGAACTTAAAGAAGAACTCCTTGTTAGTTGATAACTGTCGATGCAAATGACTACACAGCATAAAATCCCATTGTCTCCGACAGATTTGGAAGACATGGAAAACGCTGTGAATGTGTGAGGCGGATGTGTAAAAATGCAGACGATGCGCAGAGCAGTAGAGCTTACTCTATTCAAAATCTCATATGGTCGAAAAAAGCTTGCCGCCAACTAAATATGTATACGATGAACAACTGATTTTTGTCGATAAAGGAGATGTTTTGAGAACAACCTTGTACCCACTTCAAAGATTTGTCAAACCGCCATATTCTTCTGAATGTAGTATAATGGCTTGCAATTATGGATCATTCTCTACTTCTTTGTAAATACGATATAATTGCAACATAGTTAGGAAAATACATTGTGAATTGTTTTTACCGGAATATTTGTCCTTGATAACCCATATGCAGCCTTGTTTTCTACTAGACTCGATGTACATAATGTCGAAATCATAATCTGATAGCTAGCGTATTTAACCATTTTGGTACTCCATTGTAACTCTTTTGATCCATTTTCACCACAAATTGTCTCCCCCAAGAACTAATGTATATGGTGGAAACTAAATCAGTCATACAAGTAAAAAGTATATAAGTCCCCCTAAATAATTTTGCAAATGTGTTACTTTCCTCTACGATCTATGCTCGAGTTTTTTCCATGCAACATATATTGATGTATTATATTCTCCATAAATTAATTTTATTACACCCATCTTGACTTTTAAAATATAATCTATAAGTGATTGTTCATATTTTGTCTGAGCTTGTTCACATATGCTCGGCCTCGGTGTCAGGAACCATCATTCATCTTTGTATTGATACGGAGAAACCAAAAGTTTTCACATTCCCTCTTGGGTTTTGAACTCGGGGAACACCTTTCATTTTAATTTTACGTGTCATAAATGGCTCACTCATTGAATCATACTTTTACCTTTTATTTTAGTAGATTTAATATGAATTATTTACACTAAGGGCGGGCACAAAATACCCGCTATTTTGGATATACTTGATACCCGACCCATCCCGTACAAGTATCACAAAAGAGTAACACGTATTTGACCCGTTAAAAGCAAGTACTTGAAAAACAAGTACCCGCCCGAAATATTAACACTTGCAGGTTACCCGCCTAGGCTTAGCACCAGATTATTGATATGTTCAATTTATATTAATGTCGATCCAAACCCGTTTCACCATATATCCCGTCTCGTAAAATTTTAAACTTTTTATAAGTTTAAATGTTCGTAATATTTTAAACTTTTTATAAAGTTTAAATCTATCAATAATAATATTTATAACTTTTAAAATTTTAAAAATTTATTATATTTGGCATAATTAAACAGTTCGACTAAAGAACAGAATTAAACCGATACAAATTTTTTTGTTTTGGATACTTGTTAAGTCAAATATCATGCTCACTCGGATTTGGATTCAATTTGGTCTTATTTATAATATGACCCTGAATCGTCTAAAAGTTTTAGCCAATGTGAAACGTTGAACACACACTTTTTCCTTCATTAATTGAATAATTTATGTCATGTTTTTTAAAATTCAAATCACAACATATACTGAATTTTTGTTGATTTTTATTAAATTTATAAGATGACTCAAAGCAATTAAAAGAATCAAACAAGATGATAGAAAAATTATAATTTTAAATCTTAACAAAATGTTCTTAATATCTATATTATTAATTGTGAAAGATATTTCTAATTTTATAATTAATGGTAATTTTTTTAATTGTGTTTGGTTATTTGAATGTTAAAGAATTAATTGTAAGAGTTGTTTGGATACATGTATTTACATATTTGATTTATTCCATATTTACTTAATGAGCTTCCTAATATTTTTTTTAATCAGTGACATTTTCTGTAATATCTTATTAAAACAAAGGTTTCTCTTTAGTATATACTTCAAAAAATACTAATATAGATATATGTATTAATTGACGAAAAAAAAAGATATATGTATTAATTCACATGAAAAATAATTTTATGGATTCAGTTTAATTATTTCAGTTAGAACTAGAAGTACTATTTCTGTAATTAGAGGATTAGGAACCCAAATATTTTTGCATTTTTATCACCAATGAAAATATAGTTGGAGATGGTGAAATTAGCGGTTGATAGAGTGTAACCAAGAAGAGGAGTAGAGGACAATGGATAAAAATAGTTAGCATTAGATTTTCTATCGTTTACAAGTCGCATGTACATACATACTTTTTCGTACATACAAACACATTCACATACATGGTACATGGATCACTCATCACTCATTGTATGAGTTTAGAAAACGACAAATAGACAGATTTAGAGAATCATCTATATGTGTTTTTAAAAAAAATTCCACCTCTATATTTTTGTTAAACGTGAGATATCTCCACCATATTATAATGGAAAGGGTTGTCAAAAAGAATAATGATACAAAAAAGAACGGCAAAGAGGGGTTGTGTTGTGGGGTCAATAGTGACACAACATTCACTTGCAAAAAAAAGTAAAGGTGAAAGCTTATATATTCTATAAATTTATTTTTATTATTTAAATTGCTTTGCAAAATTTAGTTAACACTTTTTTTAGTTTGGAATCTGAATTTCTTATCAATTTTTTATTGGTTATTCGTAAAATTGTGCACGGAAACTCATACATCTTATTAGAACCTCATAAGAAGTTCAAAAGATTCTTATGAGAAATCTACAAGCCCATATAATTAGATTATCGAAACAAGTAGTCTCTTATATATATAGTTATGTAATGAGATCAATGTGATTAACTTAGAGAGTTGTCACATTGAGCAACTCTCCTCTTTTCCATTTTATCAAACTTAAAATCTTAATGTTTTTGGTGATAAACCTAAATTCTTCTTCCTCTCTTTCTATTTTTGCACAATAAAGTTCTATTGAGCTATTTCAATATATCATCTTTTCTATATTATTAGCTTCAAATAAATCCTTTCTTGGATTTTCCTACACATTTCTATGTCTAGAATAAGATAAATGTAGTCCCTTCTCCAAAATATCGAACTAGCATGACCTATTACACAATCTTTTGGACGGATCCTACGCTCAACCACTATATCAAGCTTTTGGTATCAAAGTTTTTTAGCTTCAGATATTAATTTTTGTATTATAAAAACTCTCACACATGTTAAATAATGTTTGAAGTTCTAGATACAATTCATGAAAGTTTAAATTTGACCATTTGTGATATTTTTTTTCCTACGAAACGATCCAACAGTTTCCGAGTCATAGATAAATAAGTTATGTTTGATCATCAAAATGATATATTAATCAAAAACTAACAACTTATGATAAAAACAAGTTTCTACTTTCGCATTTTCTACAAAATTAAATTACTTCGTATTTTCCACAGTCGTGTGGCATGAAATCACATTTGAATTCAGCATTGTAGTCTTCGTTCTCTACCGGTCAACATTCTTTGACTTTGATTTTCTTTGGTGTTCCATCTTGTCTCCTTATATCTATTAAAAGCCAACTATGTATTTTTCCATCTATATGTAGAATTTTCTAAATACACTATATTAAAATTAAATTATTTGATAAAAACATATACTTTTATGCTACTACAATTTTAAGTACCATTGGTATTTACTCAAAAATATTTTGTTGACAAAAAACAATCAAATTACTTTTTAAGATTATTGACTAAATTTTGGTGGACTATTCTCTCAATTCTTCTCACATGTTTTAGGAAAAATATTCCACTATGCAGTTTAACAATTCCTAGATATATTTAGTGAAAAAAAAACTCGGATTTATATGGATCCCTGGAATGATTTTGGTTTTGGTATAAAAAAAAAATCTTTTTAATACTTTTATCTTAAACTAAGATTAGAGATAGTGAAAGTTGAAAACTAGATTGAGACAAATAATGAATCGGGGACATGTATCTTATATAATTGGAGGCTCAATAAATCATCAAATGATGTGGTGGTGGGAGCGACATCTTTGAGGGGTATAATCGTAAATCACACGCCGGTTTAAGATTCTGTTTCTTTCTTTCTTTCTCTCTGATAAGAGTGAGACTTGTGTTTTGTCTTTCGAGCCATTCCCATGTGCCTTGTCTCCGACAACTTCCTCTCTTCTCTCTCTCTTCCTCTGGTTCACATGGAACTTCAATAACATTCACTACTTTAAGGTTTCTTCTCATCTCAGAAAAAGTCAGGTGGGTACTACCAAATTTGGATTTTTTTCACTTAGAACAGTTCTGTTTGATATTTGATTCCTAAAGTTTTATAACTTTTGTTTTTCTTTATCTTCCAATGAATATGATCATATCAAGTCTTAAATCATCTTTCTCTCTTGATCTTGTTGGAAAATTCTTTGATTTGGAGGTTATGAATTTGCTGCTTTCTTGGATTCTTGATCTCTGTTTTTATCAGTAGATTTGATTTGTTTATGAGTAATTCTGAAATTTTTTGCTTGAGAATTGAGTTATTTATAGAGGAATAGGGTTGATCTGAGTTACAAGACTATGTTAGGGTAATTTAGAGCTTCTCTAGGATGGTTTAAGATGAGTCTAAGTCTGATTTTTTGTACTTGTTGTTGTGCAGATTTGAAGTGACTAGAAATGTACAAGCAGCCTAGACAAGAGATTGAAGCTTACTCTTTTGAGCATAACTCTGCTGGGAGGCTTATGTACTTACCG